GTCACGCCACGCCACGCCATGCCATGCGGGGGCGCGCGCGGTAGCACGGCCCTGGAAGTGGCTCTTGCTTGTGAGAGGCGCGGGACGGCGGAGCCGGGCCCGGAGGTCGGCAGCGGGCCGTGGCAGCCGCCCCTGCTGCTGGGGCGGGAGGAGGAGGAGGAGGAGGGCGTTGGCTACGTGCTGTGCAGGTACGGGCCCGCGCGGGCAGGAGGAGTGGGGCACTGGGGCCTGGGGATGACAAGCGCTGGAAGCCGCTGCCGATGCGTGCCGCGCGAACCCAAGTCACAGCAGTTAGGGCTGAGGGACGGGGGGCGGTGTGATCGACTGCTCTCCTGTCCCGAGCTGTTTCACAGCTGGACTGTGGTACGGTTACCTACGTCAGTACCTCCCGTACGCGTTTATACTCTGGTCTATGTCATAGACAAGAATACAGTGACCATCGGGAAGGAGGATGTGTTGGTGGATGTAGATCTGTGCGTGCAGTGGTTTGAGTAGCGCTTTGTCCTTTTTAGAAGCACTGAAGAGACAAAACTGTTTATTTACAGGGACAGGAAGGAGTGGGCAGACATTGAACCTGTCCCTCAAAATGATGGGCCAAATCCTGTTGTTCAGATCATCTACAGTGAAAAATGTAAGTTTTAAACATGTTCTGTACTGGGAACTTAAGGTGGTTAAATTTGTATCTGTCCTTAGCACTGTTAAAGCAAGACTTCACGTTTTTGGATAACATATTTTCTAGAGTAGTACTGTGAAGAAATTAATATTTATTGTGTTATGGTGGTCGTGTGTGATGTTTTCACGAAGCATCTCTGCAGTTGAATCTTCACCCGAGATGTTAATAGCCAAGGTTTTATTTTAAAATCATATGGCTTAAGAGGTAATACAACAGACAGTCTGGTTCACATAATAAGGCATTTCTGGCCCACAGGTGGAAGAGGGACATATGAAGCAACCGCATCTGGGGAAATAGTGTGAGTGAGCAGCAAGGAGCTTTTCTGATTGTTTTGGATATGATTCAGCTGGTGTATTCTTGAGGGTTTTTTGCAGCTTTTCAGTATACTAACATCATTTGGAGGTTTCACTCAACAGTGCTGTCAGAGCAATATGTAGCTATCATTTTAAAGAGGTATATTTAGAGTACTCCAAACAGGAAGTGACTTCAAAGGATTTTTAACCTTACCCACTAATCAGGCCATTGCCTGATAGCTTTGGATAAGATGCTGTTATCTATTTAGTTCGCGATGTCTATGATTATTTCCGGGCTGTTCTGCAGCGGGATGAGAGAAGCGAAAGAGCTTTCAAGCTAACAGCAGATGCCATTGAGTTAAATGCTGCAAACTACACAGTATGGTAAGTGATAATCTTGGGATTGTTTCTGTCATCATTTGATTGCTGACCTCTTATGTCTTTAATAATTTTGTTAGTCTAATCAGTGCACGGCTAGTTGAGTGTACACAGAGGAGTAGTGCAGACTTCCAGTGAGCTTCTGAAGAAAGCCTTTGTTCAGTATTTTCTGTGTCTCATTTTGATTTGGTGGTTTTCATTCACTTAGCTTTGAGGATATTATCAATCAAGGTCAGGATAAGCCACAAAAAGAACTTTACTTTTTAAAATTAGTTAGAATCATAGAATCATTTAGTTTGGAAAAGACCTTCAAGATCATCGAGTCCAACCAT